GGCCTTGAGTAGATCTTGACATGGCCAGATCTATACTTTAGGAAGATTAATCTGGCAGGCCTGATGAATTTGATGGAGGAGAGAATAGAGATGGAGAAAGTGGCTAGGAGGCTATTACAATAGTCTAATAAAAAGGCAATGAAGGCTTGAAATATGTGGTGGCAATATAGGAGAATGGACAGGGGATTTGAGTAGGACTGATAGTTGCTTTTAAAATTCTACAGGATGTTTCCAAAGTCTTAAATGTAGTTAAAATTGCACTAAGACTTTGGGAACACCCTGTGTTTTGCCTTTTATTTCTATAGCACAGTGTCTGGTACACAGTAAGCACTTAATAAATATACTCTATCTATCTATCTTTCTGTATCCTCTATCATCTATCTCTGACTAATTATATTTGTCTTTATCTACCTTTCTATCTATCTATCTACACCATAGGTATTTGTTGATATACCTCCCCCAACCCAATTGAACCTCCCCTTTTAATAAAAAACAAAAACAAAAAAACCTTTAAGCTAAACCAACTGGTACAGGGACTACAGATGTGGAATGTCCAATACACTGTCAGCTGCGGTCACCATGTCAGCTGACAGCATATATGACATTCTACATCTGTAGCCCCCCTGAGAGGAGGCAGGTGCATTTCCTCATTAGTTTTCTGTGACTGAGACTGGTCATTACAATTAATCAGAGTTTGATTTGCCTTTTAGAGTTGTTTTCATTTACATAGAACTGATTACAAAAGAGGAATCAACAAAACATGGAAGCTGATTGGAGCCTGGGGATGGGAGGAGAGTCAAAGATGATACTGAGGTTTTAATCCTCAGTGACTAGGAGGATGGTGGTACCATTAACAGAACTAGGGAAGTCAAAATGAAGAGCAGGTTTTAGGTGAAGGTGAGCTCAGCTTTTGATGAAGATGCAATATATATATAGTTTAAAAATGTCTGTAACATCAGGGATAGATGTGGATTTGGGAGGCATCTGCATTGAGGAGCTGTGGAACTGAATTATATCATCAAGGGAGAGAATATAGAGAGAAGACAGAGGCAAGGGCAAAGCTTTTGAGGATACCCATATTTAGGGAACAGGAGGAAGGGGAGACAGAGAAGGAGCCTTCAGAGAGGATTCTTCAGCAAATAGATTGCCCATGATTTATATGTCACCTTTACATACACTCTGAAAGTCCTCGTCCCATCTCACTGGCAAGTCAGGTCTCAGAGCAAAATTAGCTGTGGACTCCGGGGTCCTTATCTCAACTCCCATTCTCATCTACAAATCTGATACTCCTGAGCATGGTTTGCTAAATCTTCCCCTCTGAGGTCTAGGGTTAAAAGCTTATGTAATATTATTGGCTCAAGCCCCTATTCTGATGGGTTCTCTCCAACATCACCAGTAGTTAAAACCTCAATATCATTTAACTAATCAACCTCAATTAGCTTTTTTGTTCTTTTTGTTACATTTTGAGCTCTGAGTTGTTTCCCTTGCTCCCTCCCAACATTTAATCTGGTATTTTTGTAGAACCATACAATACATACTTCCACACATTAGTTCTTTCTCTGGAGGTGGATAACATTTTCCTTCATAAGTTCTTTGTAGTGGATTTGAATGATCAGAATAGCTTGGTAATTCACAGTTACTCTTTTAACAATATTGCTGTTGCTGTATACAACATTCTCTTGGTTCTGCATTATTTCTGCAAGTCTTTTCATATTTTTCTAAAACCAACCTGTTCATCATTTTCTTTTTTTGCTTTTTGGCGAGGCAATCGGGGTTAAGTGACTTGCCCAGGGTCACACAGCTAGTAAATGTCAAGTGTCTAAGGGCAGATTTGAACTCAGGTCCTCCTGACTCCAAGGCCTGAGCTCTATCCATTGTGCCACCTAGCTGCGTCTGTTCATCATTTCTTACAGCACAGCAGGATTCCATTGTGATCACATGCCATCAATTAGCTTTCACAAAGAGCTATTTACTAAGAAGATACAGCAAGAATAGAGATATAAAACACATTCCCTCCACCAAAGGACACATTTTCCCCTATATCACTTTGATTGGTCCATGGGGAAAGTAGGCTCAATCATAAAGTGTTTGCTATAAAGCCTTTACCCTCACTAAATTTGCTTTTAAATAGCATAGCTAAAAAATGAAGTTACTCCCTTGCTTGCAGAAGCCAGCATCTCAGTGCAATCCACTACTGGGGTCAGTCAAGCATGTTGATAAGTATCTTACTCCTTACTGAGCCTTGCTGTCCCCAAACTTTGTCATTGACTCCAGTTCCTGAGCCCTTTGTGTTCTCCTGACCTTTCAAAGCTCAGAAGGTCACATCCTAGTCCACTCCATCTCTAATACTCCTTTGCCTAAGGCAAGAAAGAATAGACATAACAAAGGCAGAAGCAATATTAGGGTCATATGCTCATGACTCCATTGCCTTCTCACTTGCAGACAGCCAGATACATAGAAAAGAGAACAAGATCAAATCATTGTAGCCTTTTGGGCGTATGCTCAGTTCTGACTCAAAAGCTGACTTGAAATGCCTTTCCTCACCACACACATGCTAAGTGCATGGCAAACAACCATGGAATATCTCCATATGAGTTGAAGAACTCGAGTGGGAAGACTGCATCAAGCCAACCACGCTGACCAAGCTCATAAGGAGTGGGTTTCCATTGGCCAGTCCCCCATCACACTGACAAAGAATTTTAATCTAACTTTGGACTCAAGAGGTTGATATGCTGTATCCATCCCACAGATGAGAAGACTAAAATTCAAAGCACGATGGTGACTTCTCCATGTTCCTCCCATATATGTTACCCATTACTGAGAACCAGCTCCAGTTTAGGTACCCTGTTCTGTTCTATCCTCTTTCTGCTTCTCCCTGACTTCTGAAAGGCCCTCTAGCCAAGCCAAGTCTCCCAGTGTTGCTTCAATGTAAAAAAACAAATATTATCAGGAATACTCAACTGCCCTAAAACAGGTCCTTACTGAGATTGGGGGATCAAAAAGGAACACAGAGTGAAAGGATGAAATTTACAATTTCCTTATCTGGCTATGGCTATCCGTTTTTTCTCTCCTCAGCCTCTAGAAAATCCTGCTTCTGAGCTAGGGTTAGCTTTAGCTTCTGCATCTCTGTCCCTCTATTTCTTTTTCTCTTTCTCCGGGTCCATGTGTCTCTCTCTCCCTTTTGCCTCAGCATTTTCCTGTTGTCTCTGCCTCTGTCCTTTTCCAAATCTTTCCGCCTTCTCCCAGTTTATGCCAGTACACTTTTAATGTGACTTCTCATCTTATGCCCCAACCTACATCTATTGTAGCTAAAGAGCCTCATGCTTGGCTGGAAATAAACGAACAAACACAGACACCCACAGAAGACACATAAACACAAGCACACACTCTATCTCTCATATACATATACTCACACACACACACACACACACACACACACACATCTACTCCACTTTCTTTCCTATTTCTTCAAATGCAAGTTCCTCTTCAATCTTTAGTCCCAAAAACCTGTGGGGTTGGTCAGGATTGTTCAGTTTCAGACTTCATATTTTAGGAAAGATGTTGACAAACTGATGTGTCCAGAAAAAGATCATCGGGTTGGTGAAGGGCCTGGAGATCTTGTGAGGATTAGTTGGAAGTACTGGGGTCCTTAAACTTGGGGAAGAGAAAGGTTAGGGTATCATGGTGCCTGTCTTCAAATATTTGCTCAGGTATGGAATGGACTACGTGGTCAGTCTTTAAGCTTGCCTCCGATTCTGTGAGTCTGTGAATTCTGAAGGCCCTTCCCCATGGAGCAAGAAGGGGTGTGTGTGTTTGTGTGTGTGTGTGTGTGTGTGTGTGCGTGCGCATGCGCGCACGCAAACTCAAGCATAAGCTCACGAGCAGGCACATAACATACACTGCAACTAGAACTGGGATTAGAGCTAGAGCTCCAGTCTTTCACTAAGGACATCTCAAGGCCATGCCTTCTTATCTTCCTGGTTCTTCTAGAAACTTCAGTGACCTCCGAATCAGTCACTCCTTTTCGTGAAGGAGAGAGCCTTACTTGCTACGGCCAGTTTTCTGGAAACTGCAGAAGCTTCTTCTCTGCCATGGTGGTAGTAGTTGTCTCAAAGAGTCAAAGGGACACCCAATGGCTAGACATGGAGCATCTCCCCCAGGCACTTCCCAGGGTCTGGAAGGCCTCAGTCCAACTTTTAAGCCCAGGCTCTTCCTGTCCTGGAATGTGATTCCCCCCTCCCCCAACCCAAAGTCTTCTCTTCTTTTACTTGTTGTAGCATTTATTCTCATTCTCAGTTTAAGCTCCAGGCTGATCTACATTTGGGAATATGGCTCCTGCATATCCTTTGGATCCCTTGTTCTCTAGGAACCGGAGGCATTTAGTCTTCTGTGGAAAGGCCACAGAAAAACTCCTGTTGGTTCATCAACGTTTTTAACAATTCATGTTTAAGGAGTGACTGTGATGATTTAAAACAGATCAGCTAAGTAGAATAATTTGCACACCCTCCCCCCAAACACGTGTGTGTGTGTGTGTACCCCAAAGGGACTTGCAATGGAAAAGCCATTCCCAGAGATGCAGCCAGACTCCTGAAAGGATCAGGGTTGGTGCAAGAGGTTAAGTCATCATTCTGACCCATATCCCTCACTCCGTTCCACTTTCCAGCCTAGTCCCAGGGAAGGGCAGAGGGTACAGAACAGCAACAAATATATCAACGCTTTCTTTTCTCCATTCCATTTCCTTTGCTTTCTTCTCCCTTCTGTCTCTCTCCTTTTCCTTTTCTCTCTTCTTTCCTTCCCTTCTATTCTTTCCTTAACCTTCCATTTCTCTTCTCTCCCTTTTCTTCTCTATCTCTCTCCTTCAATTCTCTCTCCTCTTTCTCTCTACTCCCCTCTATTAACTTCTCCTGCTTTTCTCTGTCTCTCTCCTCCCCTTTTCTGTCCTTGTCTCTCTCTGCATGCTTATCTCTCCCTCTCTGTCTTTTTCTTCTTCAGCTCTCCCTTCTCAGTCTTTCTCTCATTGGCGCTGCCTCTGTCTCTCTCTGTCTCGGTGTGTTGTGAACATCCCCCTTTCCCTCTTCTTCTCCCTGTTTCTCTGTCCCTTTCCACTACTTCTCCTTCTCCCTCTTCCTATCCCCTTTTCAGGCTTGCTGCAGCTTCAGCTTCGGTGGTGCTTAGGGATCGGACTGCAGAGGTTAATGATGGCCCCCCCACACCCCCCGCTCCCCATCCAAGATGTATCTGACTGTCAGGAGGGGTGACAGATGAAGACAAAGTACAGGTACGGCTCGGAGCCCGGCCCTGAACGTACCAGCCGTGCTGGGGAGTTGGGGGGTGGGGGGAAAGAGGCTCGAGTCCACAGCATTAACCCCTCTGGTTCCAGGAACAGGATTCACGGGACGTTTAGTTCTCGGTTCTGGTGACAGCCGGAAATCACTGGCGCTGCAATGTTTCCTCCATTCTTTTTGTGACTGTTTATGGTCTCCAAAAACACCTGGTTGGAGGTAGGCTAACAGAATCCACCCCCCACACACACTCCACCCCACCCTTCAGCAAGAGGTCAGCCAGAGCAGGATATGCAGGCAGGGAGAAGTTTAGTCAGGGCTGATGGGGACTATCCTGCCATTACCTAGGATACCTGTCCAAGGTTGAAGGAAGGGCTCAGATCAGTGTTGAGGATATGGTAAATCTAGAACGGTTGGGGGTAGAGAGGTTGCAGACCTATTGAGAGGTCAGCAGCTGGAGTGTAACAGAAAGCAATGGATTTGGAGTTAAAGGAATATGAGTTATTTGCCTCCACTATTCTGTAGTAACTGTGTGATTTTAGGAATGTCTCAACCTCTAGGCCTCAATTTCCTTATCCATGAAATGACTAGAAGATCTCCAAAGGTCCCTCCAGTTCTAAATCCTATAATCTCAAATGCTATTCCTTTCTTCTTTGCCCAACATATCTCTTAACCTCTTCCTTACTACCCCCCCCACAAATTTCCCATTGCTCTCCCAACTTGTGAGAGTGTATCATGTTTACGTATATGTTTGTGAGAGTGACTGTATATTCATGTCAGAATGTGTATTTGTGAGTGTGCAAATGTATGTGAAGGTATGTGAATTTTGAGGAAATGTTTGTATGCTTATAAGGGTGCATTTACAGGTATATCCTTTTGTGTACGTGTTTGTGAAGATGAGTGTGTTTGTGGGAGTGTGTGTCTCCCATAGGTATGTCAGTATATATGTGTGAATATGTTTGGGGGAGAGGGGAGGGAGAGAATGGTTGTCTGGGAGATATGCGGACAAGTCCTTCCCTTTCCAGTCTCTCTCACCCCCCTTCCATAGCTTAAAAAAAAAGGGAAATAATTACTTTTCCCTTTTAAATGCTCTATGTTCAGACCAGAATGAAAACAGAGTGATTTAATAAAATTGTCTTTAAAAGGGAAAAGAGGAAAACAAACAGTGGCAGCACCACTATCCTTCAAAGTACCCAGGGAGGCACCCAGCCCTTCAAACTTAATTAAAACACCACCTAAAACTGCAGGATTTTTCATAATTTCCCATTCTTACAAGGAAACCATCCCTCAACTCACCTCCTTCACCTCAACCACAGTCCTGTCCTCCTGTCCCATACCTTCCCTTCCCCAGGTTTCCATCCTCCAACTCAGTCCATAGACCCCACCTTTTCCAGGTCTGGCCCCTAATCCCTGGTTTATGCCAGAGTACTCACCCCCATCTAGGTCCTCTGCCCACAAGACTCCTTATACTCAATCCCTCCTATATCAAAGCCCCGAAACTTACCAGGGCTGGGGAATCCACAAGGTCCCAGGCCCTGGACTATTCTCCACCTCCCACTCCCCTACACACAAGGGGGTGCCCCATCTCAGTTCTCTGTTCCGAAGATTGGAGAGAATCCAGGAGGATGGGGTAATGGAGATCTTAGTCCTAGCCCCAGTATTTCTGCTTTCTATCCTCAGTTCTACCTAAAAAGAGTGCTCTCAGTGGTATCTTCTGTACAGTGGGCTCATGGGAGACCTTCACCTTTCTAGGACCTCTCTCAGAGTGGGCTCAAATGTCATGGAGAGGGAGCCTGGCTTCCCTCCTTTCCCCCACCCTTGCCCCAAGAAAAACCCTTTCCTGGTCCCTTACCAACTTGTTTTTAAGGTTTGAAGGATGTTCTCTTCCTTTCCCACCTACCCCGCCCAGCTACTCTGAGCTTTATCTGTCTTCACTGACCCCCCAGGCCCCACTGGCGGCTCAGGCTTTGCAAGGTCCCTATGGCTTCCGCTTGGACCTGTCTCTGTTCCCCATCAGCAGCCCCAGTGGAGCTCAGGCCCTTCAGCACCACAGATAAAGGAGATGAATGGAAAGTGGAGGAGGGGTAGCTTTCCCCCACCCCCATCCCAGTTCCTGATTCTAACATAGGAATCCTCAGAAAGACTCTGATCTGTACCCCAGGGTGGAGGCCAGAGGAAAAGTTATTTGGAAAATCAGTCACCGAACACTCCCTCTTCCTCCGAAGGGCTTCCCCACTAGTGCCCTGCCCCTAAAGCCTTCTTCATACAGGATTGACCCATATACTTTTCAGGAAACCCATATACTTTTTAGGAAGCTTCTCATTTTGAATTCAAGGCCCCAGCTCCCTTAAGGAGCCTAAACCTCCACCCCCACCCCCCACTGCTACCACTACCCCCCCCCACCAGCTGAAGTAAATTCATATGCTCAGGAAAGAATCCAAGGCCCAATATTGTAAGATCCTTCCCCAGAGAGGGAAAGAAAAAAGAGATGAGGGTGAATATAGGTAGTAGAAGTCTGTGGGTAGTGTGAAACGTAGGCCTTGGAGCATACAGGACACAGGAAATGTGAGAGATCCAGGGTCAGAGGACACAATACATTGAAACATAGAGAGTATGTTAAATATATTGTACAGAGATGAGAAACAAGGAGGAGATATGGGCCATGATTTATTGATGTGACTGAAGCCTTGTGACCTTGGCAGGGCCAAAAAGTCAGCTCCACAGAGACACATAGTCACAGACAGAGAAAGAAGAGAGAGAGAGAGAGAGAGAGAGAGAGAGAGAGGGAGGGGGGGAGGGAGGGGGGGGGCACAGAGAACGGATAAAAGAGGGAGAAAGAAAAAGAGACAGCAACAGACAGAAAGAACATAGAAAAAGACATATAGAGAAATCCAGAGGGAGAAGGAAGGAAGGAAGGAAGGAAGGAAGGAAGGAAGGAAGGGGGGGGGGGGGGGGGGGGAGGAAGGAAGGATAAAAGGGAAAGATGGAAAAAAGATAAGGAAGATTAGCTATTTAGGAAGTATTTTTACTGTTTCAGCTGGGGAGGAGGAAGGGAGGGGAGGGGTCTTGAGAGAGTTCAATGACCTTTTGCAGGATCCCCCAATCCCTCCTTCGTGAGTGTTTCCTGACCTGGGGCTGTCGTAGGTATCCAGGCCAGTCGCAGAGACCAGTATCAGCTGCTTCATGGGACAGTGCTGCTGTAAGAGACAGCCCCACCCTGCCTCACCCCGGGCAGTGATTCACCTAAGCCTAGCTTAGCCCTGAAACATGGAACTCCCTTTCTAAGCATATCCTGCTCAGTTGGGCCAAGAAACAAGGCCATGCAGGGTCATTGGGGGTTCTAGCATGGTAAGGATGGGGGGGAGACGGGGAGATGGGTAACTCCTCTAACCAATTACAACCCTACCACAATTTCACATCTCTGCCTTTTCTCAAGCTGCATCATTGTCCACTGGTACCATATTGTCAACTCTTCTGGACCCTATGAGCTCTTTCCAGAGCCCCCATCATTGCCCCCTTCCTACAACCACCCTCCCAGCAGGATTATATCACTGTTGCAAGCTCAGGATTCTATCACAGCCTTCGTAAGTGTCCTGCTCAATGATCGTCAGGGCCACATCACTGCCCCCCTAAGACCTCAATCATTAGCCTTCCCCTAAGGTATTTATAGGCCTGTTGATTATTGCGTTGGATTGATTCTACCCTCCCTAATCTCAACTTCTCACTCGTAAGAAAAGTACAGGGTTTGTTCAAACTCCAGGAAAGATAGTCTTCAGAAACCTGAGTCTTAGTTATCTTTCGTTATTGAAAACCCTGACCCTAACCTCTACCCCTATCCCCTGATTAGAGGGAGAGCCAGACCACAGGTAGGAAGGAGAAAATATGGGAAGAGGGAAGGAATTTTCCCAGAATTCACCACCTCCTGCCTATTCCCCAAAGCTTGATTAGTCATGAAACTACATAAATCTTGAGGGGGGGGAGTGGAGGGGGGAGGGGGAGATTCAATACAGAGAGTCCAGAAGTCTAGGGCCTTGTAGCCCCTGTATCCCTCCCATCTCCCCAACAACAAACGTGCACTCATAAATTAACATCATAGGAAGGATTTAGACATGCAGATCCACATAATATGAGCATCATATTTGTGCATAGAGTATGGGCCACGTATACTAACAACATCTGGCTAATGCGTTCTGCAGGACTATGATGCACACTCAGATGGCTACAAAGTACCATATGTACAGACAGGCAATAAGCAATACAAAGGGAGCACGCACATAGAACAATGCTTCAAATGTGCCTATAATACACAACATAAATGCACATGTGCCTCCAAAAATGTATACACAGATACACATCCTAGCAATTACAGATACGTTTATACATATATGTATATATGCAGCATGAATACATAATCTAGAACACTTACAAATACCAAAAAGCCCATTTATGAAAGTCATTCTTGTACAGGCTGTGTGAGGTAGTAGATAGCCAACTCTTCCCCGGTCAGTCGTGTCTGACTCTTCCTGACCCCATTTGGGGTTTTCTTGGCAAAGATACTGGAGTGGTTTGGCATTTCCTTTTCCAGTTCATTTTACAGATGAGGAAACTGAGGCAAACAGGGATGAGTGACTTACCCAGGGTCACACAGCTAGGAAGTATCTGAGGCCAGATTTTAACTAAGAAAGCTAATGCCCTAACCACTGAGCCAGGTAGACAGATAGCCAACCCCATCTGGAATTTGGAATTGAAATTTGCATTTGGAGTCCTGATTCTAGATTTGACACCAAAGGACCTGGGCCAGCAGCAGGGAACCTGCAGCTTCGAGGCCCATATGTGGCCCTCTAAGTCTTCAAGTGTGACCCTTTCATTGAATCCAGACTTCACAGCCACAGGTTCCCCACCCCGATCCTGGGCTATATTGCGGCTCTGGGCAGGACTGGAGTTTCCTCATCTGTTAAATGAGTTAGTCTACTCTACATGACCTCTGAGGTCTCCTTCCAGTTCTAAATACTGGATCCTGTTCATCATCGTTCATATGTGCACAAGTACATGTCCATGCACTTAAGAACATATTATACACTTACACAAACTGTGACCCAGCCTAGGGTGCCAAAGGGCCTGATATCTTATTTTCCTTTGCCCAACTGCACGAACTGCGTAGAGACCTGGGGTCCCAGTTTTCTGACCACCAGATGGAGCTCTTTTATCCCCTTAAGTGTCTCTAGCGTTCCTACCCGGAGGTCCCTGTAGGGGCCTCATTGCAGACTGAGCAGTTGTCAAGCAACAGGCTCAGATGGTCCCGGCAAACGAGTTCGGTTCCTCCTTCAGTCTAATTCACACCTCCAGTCCGATGGCCCCAGGGTGGGTCCAGGGGCCTCTTTCTGGCTTCTAAGCTGCATGCAAATGGGCCCCCATCCTAGGGGTTCCCCCAGCACCCTCTTTTCCTCCATCTCGGTGTCCCTCAAGCATTAATTAGTATCTGAGTCCCCAAACCCAGGGCAAATAGGAGCTGTCAATTTCAACAGTCCAGGATCCTCTGGTCATCTCCAGCATCGAACACACCTGGAGCCAGGGGAACCGGGAGCTCCAGCCGTGGTCGTGGTAGAGTAAAGGGAAGGATCCGATTCTGGAGACTCAAACCGTCTCTCTTAAGCCCCCTCTTCCATTAACCCTTCCCTCTCCAGAGCGACGTTTGTCTAAAGATCCCCGCTTTGGTACTAGAAGGAAAGCCCTTTAGTCTTTTCCAAAGCAAAGGAGCTTAGTACAGGCTAGTTTGGGGAGTGGACGGAGATAGGGGGTGGGAGGTTGGAGGAGACAAGGGACTGGGGCAGGGGTTTGGGCTGGGCAAAGCTCTGTCCGAGCTTAAGTAGGGAGAGGAAAGCTTCGCGCGTCCTTCCCCACATCCCCTGGGAGCCCCTGCTGATCCCAGGTCGCCTCGGGAGAAGGGAGCCTGGGCTAAGGGAGCTCCAACCTCGGGCAGAGATCGCGGGACCAACCCCGGGGCCCCTCGGGGAGGCGAGGCCAGCGTCTCGTCTCCTCGCCTCCTCCTCGTCTCCCCCGGGAGCGGCGGGAAATTATTTATTAAAACACCGCTCGTGCTCTCGTTTATTTGCCGTGAATAATCCTCGGCAACAGCGTGCGTTTATTAAACTCTTCCCGTCCCCGCGCCCCGCTTTGCTTTAATAATAAATCGCGTGTCACTTTCCAGCGACGTTATTAAAGCCCGCCCGCCGCCCGAGCCGAGGCAGGATTGTGGGGGCTGGGGGGAGGGGGTGAGGGGAGGGGGAGGACGAGGAGGAGGGGGGAAGGAGAGGGAAGGAGAGGAAGAGTCGGAGGACATGAAGGAGAAGAGAGAGGGGGAAAGGAGGAAGAGAAGGAGGGGGAGGAGAAGGAAAAGGTGAGGAAGGAGGGAGGTGAGGGAGGAAGGGGAAGAGAAGAGAGAAGTGGAGGAGGGGAAGTGGGAATCTGCCTTCTCCCACCGATCATAAGGCTACAATGCAGAGGGCTGCAGAGGGGGAAAACTGAGGCCAGGCAAAGCTCCCAGCACAGCTCAGAGCCGGCTGCCCTGTCCACACGGAATATCAGTCCACCTAGGAGCAGAATTCGGAGACCTCGGACCTCGCTAGAGCTTTAACCTCGGAGAGATGCGGTGGAGGCGCGCATCCCTTTCTTGCTGGCGATCTCCGAACTCTGGAAATGGGTAAGAGGCCACCAATGACCACCAGGTGGCGCCTTTGCCTTCTGGGACGCATGAGTCAGGAACACTCAGGATGGGGCAGGAATGTTGGATTTAGATTTTTCTGGAGATTTACTCCAATTCCTCCTTTAACAGATAAGGAAACTGAGGCCTTGAAGGAAGAGATTGGCCCAAGGTGTGTCAATTCCAGAGCCAGGTTTTCTGACCCTAAATCTGAACCATCAATCAATAAGCAACTAGCAAACATTTATTAAGCACCTACTATATGCCAAGAACTCTGGTAGGTGCTAGGGCTTTTTGAAAACAAAAAAGGAAAAGTCCTTGTCTTCAAGGAACTTTAGATTCTATAAGCGAATTAATATGGACACTTATAAGTAAATTCAAAATACATAAAGGTGAATACAAGATTATTGGTCCAGTACTAGCATCATTCTAGAGGGAATTCAGAAAATGGGCACATGCTGGTGATACTTGAGGAGAGCTTTGAAGGGAGCCAGGTGTTTGAAGAGGTTAGGGTGAGGAAAACAGGCTGTTTGAGAGCGAAGAGATGGAACACTGAATTATGTCAGGCACTGCAAGACCAGTTTGGCATGTGTGAAAAGGAGTAATGTTTATTACGTCTGGAAAGAGTATAGAGATATTATGAAGGGTTTTAAATGCCAGAGGATTTTGTACTTTATATTAAAGCTAATAGGAAGCAACTTGAATTTTTGAGGAGGGAAGTGATATAGTTTCAAACCTATGCTTCAGAATTATCCCTTTGTTAGGTACATGGGGGGAAGCAGATTGGAGAAGAGAGTAGCTTCAGAAAGGGAGATGAATTTGGAGGGTATTATAATAATCCAGGAGAGAAGTAATAGGGGACCTGAGCCAGAGTGGTATCTATATGGGTAGAGAGAAAATGAATTTGAGAGGTGGTATAGGGGTAAGCATGGACAAGACTTGGCAACTGCATGTGTGGGTAAGGAAGGGAAATAAAAAGTCAATGGCTCGGGGGTTGGGAACTTGGGAGATAGGAAGGATGGTTGTGTCTTCACCAGAAATGGGAAGTTAAGAAGAGGGGAATGACGGGGGTGGAGTGGGGTAGAAAATGAATCCTGTTCAACACATGTTGGGTTTGAGATGCTTTTAAGGCATTGAGGTAGAAATATCTAACAGGCAGTTAGGGATGTGGGAGTGGCACTCAGGAGAGGGTCTAGGGCTGGATTTTTAAATGAATTCATAGTGGGTAGTGAAGTCAGAGACAGCATAGAGAAGAGTGCTGAAGGCAGGGTCTTGGGATACACTTACAGTTTCAAGGGTGGGAGGAGAAGGATGTGAATGACAGTCCAGCAAAGGAGACTGAGAAGGAACAGTTGGATAGGCAGCAGAATCGAGACAGGTCATGAAACTTCATAAGGGAAAGATTATCCAGGAGGAAAGAATGGCAAAATATATATACACATATACATATACATATATTAAACATTACCGCAGAACAGTCAAGAAGGATGAAGACCTAGAAAAGGCCATTAGATTTAGCAACTAAGAGGCCATTGGAACTTTGGAGCATTTTTACACTACAGTTGTATAGTGTTCCAGGTTCCCTACAGATGAACTCTTCAGGACCCAGGTAGCACAGCCCTTTTCTTTAGGAATACAGCACCTAACATCTAAGGGGTACTCAATTAATAGTTGTGGAGTGAATAAAGCACCCTCTCTTTTCTAAA